GCTTTGAAGGATGAGTGCAACCGTTCTGCTTTTTGCGCCGGGTTAATCGGTTTCTGGCCGTTGCCAGCCGTGGGCTGAGGCTCGGAGTGGGAATAGTCGGAGGACTCTGTCAAGGGTTGCTATGCCAGACGAATCGGTTTGTCCAATCGTGTCTCTGCGTGTCTGCTGGACGGACTGGCTTGGTCTTCGGGTGGCCGACACGACAATCTGGAGCGTTTCTGGAGCTGGTTGTGATGTGGAGCCTGTTGTTGTCGAGGCACGACAGTCAGGTCGCTCGGCCAGCCAGCCAGATGGACGGGTAGATGTAGAGATAGACAAGCAATTGGTTCGTTGATGAGCTCAGTGTCATCTCGAGTCGCACCAGGAGACGACAGCGGATTTCCAATTTGATAGGCTTTACTGGTACATTCTCGTCACGAGGACTAATTGCGTTTCGATGAATCCCTCAAGATATATTATCATTGTTGAGAAGACTTTAATTTCGTATAAAAGTGCCTGTAACAGGATGATTAGATCTATCCGTCTATCTATATACATCTTCGTGTTTTAACTTTGCGTGTATATAAGAGGTAAGAGAGAGCCAGATTATCTCCTGTGTTTGTTAACGTGACACTTTGACAAGATACGAAGAAAAGTTGGGTTTCGAGGAATCTCTTGTTTCATAATTGTTGGGATTACTTCCATTTCGAGTGGAAGTGTTGGGTTAAGAGATTCGAAGGTCGGTTCCACCAGAAGACGACGGCGAATTCCTCTTGACCATTCAAAAAGCTATTCTTTATTAATCTAATGTTATTTTCAATCAATAAGGAGATAAGGAGACCTTTTCTCATGTTTTGTCTTTACCCTCGTGCGTTCTCTCTAAAAGGAGAGGTGAGCAAGAAGGAAGTGGGGAATAAAAAGTGTGTTCAGAGAAGCTATGACACTTTCTTCAGTCATGGTCACTTTTAGAGAGAAAGTTGACCCATTCACAAGATCGGGTTGCTACAAAATAATGTGTTCATGTGGTCGC